CCCCAGCAAGGGTGGTGGTGGTGGTTTTTGTTACCAAGAAAGGTCCTTTCCTTTAGATCACCTGCCCTTCAAGGATTTCACATGGTGGCAATGATTGTAAAGTATGTGGCCTTGGTTTCAGGTTTTGGGCTTGTCTAAGAAATCTCTTAATTCGTTGTTTTTCCACAAATCCGAGCCAGTTACATGCTTCCTGTCCATGTTCTCTGGTCACCCTTGGACACACACACACCTGTTTTTCTGATTCTTCATTCATTTCTTTCTGAAAAGTTCACAGGTTTTTTCCCCACTAACTTTTTATTTATTCAAAAAACTTTATCCTCTCAAAGGTGACAGGTGCATTCTCAGTGCTGTTGTTATATCAGAGAAAAGCTACTTTAGGAAAAGAAGTTGCGAACAGGTAAGTAGAAGGAGTTTAGGAGCTAAAATTTAAGTTATTTTTTAAACATTTCTCCATTTTGTATCACCTTGCTTGACTCACAAATAATTCAGGTTTTTAAACACTTGACACACAACTAACCGTCAAACAAGCCACCCAAAACACATATCTAGGTGGAATTCAAAGTGTCAGTAAATGACTTAAACCACTCAGTCATTAAATGATTAAAAATGGAACACCATTGGATATGTCCATCCTTATTCCTCCTGCATGACTCCTACTCATATTGCTTGTGAGAAAAACCAAAACAAAATAAGGATTCTAGTTTCACCCTGATGGTTTGTCTCCGAAAAGTCCTTTTTATTCACTTCCTATCTGAGTAAGAATTCTTTCCTTGTCCTATTTATATTTCCACCCTTACTCCAAGGAGCTCAGCATATCAAACACATGATCATGTTATTTTATCTGAACAATGCTGCTTTAGGGCAAGGGTTAGGGACGTACAATCCTTCTAAATTTGAGCAGGAACTTGCCCTACTCTCACCACTCCCAAGTACACAACTTCATGGGTTGCCTGCTGTGCTTGTTTTGCATCGCATTGCAATTCTCCTTGAGACTTTGAAAGTGTCAAAACAGATGCTGCCCACAACTATGTTGTGACTTAATTATGACATTATGACACGAAGGCAAAGGGCTTGACCTTGGGACTCATCTGAGGAGGAGGAGGAACAGAAGGAGCAGGAGAACATGCACCCTTTGTCTGGTGACACTTTCAAGTTCTATTGCCTTGCCTGTTCATGTCTTCTCTTCTCTTTCTTGGATTTCTTTCCAGCCTTTTGGTGATTCCTGTAAGCAACTGGCAGATGCTTTTGAGATGGCTTATTTTATTTGTTGCAAAATGTCATGAAATGGTGAAAAACATTGTCTATATATTCACTTGTTAACTGACTCGAGTGTGGAAACATATGGTAGAATTATCTAATGTGTGCATGCATTCTCTCTCTCTCTCTCTCTCTCTCTCTCTCTCTCTCTCTCTCTCTCTCACACACACACACACACACACACACACACACACACACACCCCTTACAGACTCTCTTATCCTAGACTTCAATCTCAACAAGACCAGTAAACATTCCTTAGGAGGTTTTCATAGGTTTCAGCTTTAACACTACATTTTGCCTACAATGAAATCAAAGGTAAATCTGGAGATTCTAACTCAGGTACAGCCTCTGTAATATTCTGATAAATGGTGCACAAGCTTTAATACTTACTGGGGATGGAAAGAAATATTCAAGATATGAGTTGTCTGTGCCAAATGAAGGCAAAGGTGAAAATGGTTGTGCGAGGTGATGTGATTGTGTCCTAGTTACCTACATTCCAGAAGTACTTCTAATAAAGGTACTAATTATTTTCCCTTTAACAGTTATGTAAGTACCATATGCAAAGATTTATATTTTTTCACGTAAGTGATGAAAAGAACACACCACTTAAAATGTGCTGTATAGCAGCACATGAGTTGAAAGTGGTGCCATACAGCCCATTTTATGTTACAACCAGCAGAAGCCTTGTCCACAGAGTATGTACTAAATAAGACTATGAGTTGGATCCAGAATCCATGATCATAGTTCTACTAATGGTATGTTACTGCAAATGAAGATGGGTAGAGTATTTTGTTTATTCCTTTCTTGGGAATTTTTATTTTCTGATTTTCATACATAGACAAGGAGCATATTAATAAAAAAGCAACATTTAACCAGAATTTTAATATCAAAAATGGTTGCCTATTTTTTGTTAAAGGGCCATTCCTCTGATCAATCTACTGTATGTTAATTTTTCAGCTAGTGTTGTGTGCTAAGTGCTATGAATATAACCCGTTGCAGTTGAGTTTACAATCTTTCCCAATTCAATATTTCATGGCTTCAAACATTTAAAAAATTATTTCTGTAGTATTTGGTTTTGAAATAGAAGATGACCAGGCTAACTGAAGTCTTGGAATTATCATTTGGCATAGTATTGGACAGAAACAAACTCTCATGACCAGAATCTTTTCACTGTATACTCTTCTACATATGCAATAACAATAAAGATCCTCATACTTAGGGATCAGAGAGAATTCAGCAATGCTACTGCTGAATAAGAGATGGCAGACTCGTCATATTTAATGGTTATACAGCAGGCAGGAACAATATGGTCGTTTCTAGGCTGGGAATAACTATAGAATTTGGCCAGTGTGGATGGTTGAGAATTTTAGTTCATACTTGATAAGAATTTGCCCAAATCACACATTTCTTCTTATCCAGCATGGAAAGCATTTGAATTTTTAGGAAACGTGTGTCTCTCACTACTTATATTTTGCTACCTCTCCAGCACAACAATGAGAGACTTCCCTTAATGCAGTGAAGCCTTACCAATGTAAGATGCTGGCAGTTCTTTTCTATCAAAACATTCATAAGATTGCATCCTAAGATAGTCAAGAACCTGGTCACTGCTTTCCAGTGGAAACTGCCCTTTTGCCACTGGGCTCAGAATAGCCTCAAAATCAATCATCCAAAGCCAGAGAAACTCAAGGTGTAGGAGGTAACACCCAAGAACTAGTTTTGCTTGTCTAGGTACAAAACACTTTGGAGGGTGTGCTCCGCCTTCAGATGTATCAGTGAAACTAATTGGAAGTTAAAGCAATCAACAGGTAGAGAGAATGAGAAGACTGTGTATGTCACAATGTACTTTGGTATCAGCAGTTCTCCTTGAATGTTCGGAAGATAAGTTAATGAACATCCTCATGGTTAGTTTCTCTGTTCATCATTTGCTGTGTTATAATTAGAGCATTTAATGTGGGCAAATAAAACCATATTGTTACTGTGTGTCCTTATCCTTCCATGTTCTATTCAATAGAGCTACCCACCAGTGATTGACATCTTGTTGACCAAAACTCTGGAAGGTGCAGCTCTCATGATCCCTATTAGCTATGTATGTTGGCCAGGGCTGCTGGGAGGTCATGAACTCTGAAATAGAGGGGGAAAATAGAAGAAAAGTTGGAGCAACTAGTTGCAATCATTCATTTTCCTGCATTTCTTGCCATACACAAACACAACTATGAAAGTATATTTTGTACTTTGATTGTAAGATGTAGTGGAGAATTGGGATACCGTAATCATTGTACATAAAATATTATTCAAAAAGGACTTAATATAGATTTTATCATTACATTTATAAGCTTGCATACAAAGACCATAAACAGCAATAAGCTGTACTAAAATATAAAACTTCTTTTATATTGTTATTTATTTTATATTGTTAATTTTATATTGTTATTTTTGTATTTTATTGTATTTTATTTTGTGTTGTGAGCCGCCCCGAGGCTTCGGCAAGGGGCAGCATAGAAATGTTTTAATAAATAAAATAATTAATAAATAAAATTTCTGTGTTACATGAACTGCTTAAAGCTTTTAAACTAAGCCAGTCTTCTTCAGGGTCTAGTATGTTAAACTATAAAGGCTTATATGCACACTTAAACAGTTTCAAACTTCTCACTTGCAAGAACTGTAACAGACTAAAACCATGGTGTTCCCACCTGCAATTAAAACACATATTTTAATTGTGGAAACAAAAGAAACAGAAAATGAAAATGTGTTATTATTAATGAACTAATAAAACATCTAATCAAACATCTAAAAATATAAACACCAAGTCAGACACCAAGAGGTTGATCCTACTTGAGCAAGATGCTTGAAGTGCAAATCCAGGTAAGATGCACAGCTAGAGAATCTAAAACCCGGCAAAGGCTGAAGCCCCTACAAATGTGCAAGGTCTGATATAGAAAGAGCAACCTGGTCCTCAGAACCAGGTCATCTAACAACATTTCAAGAAACACAAACAAGTAGATTAAATTAACATCAATGTGAAATATACCATGCTCACATGCAGAAAAAATGCTGCAAAGACATGCCAAACCTTGCCTTTGTAGAAACCAGCAGGCTGTGTATGATGTTGAAGGAAGCTTTGGTCTCCTGTAATCAGTTCCACTACAAGCACAGGTGTAATGGACAAGCCTTCTGCAGCCAGATAGAAGTCCCTTAAAGGCAACTTAGTGAAACCCACCATTAACACACACACACTCGCACACTTTTTAACCACTAGTTAACAAATGCAACGTAAAATGCAATGCCCCAACATACACAGGCTGCTTCCCTGTAGCTGTCGTTCTTCAAGTGGTCCTCTGTGCATTCACACATCTGGGCTTTGCCGTGGCAGCACAAGGCTGAGGTTGGAGAAACTCTTCCAAAGCTTAAGGTTACAGAGCTGATAGGAGCCCCCTCACCACTTCTGGGTCCTGGATTGAGAAGGGTGGGGCTCCCACCCAGTTCCTCAGTAGCCTTGGAGATCACAGCCAAAGGCCCAGGCAGCCAAAGGTGCAGGTGGAGATGAAATAGTCCACCGTGTTGCACCCTTGCCTGGTCCCTTGGGTGTGGGTGAAGTGCAGCAGCAGGAGGCCAGCAAGCAGGGCAGACGGTTGTGTGAAGGCACAGATGACCGCTTGAGCAATGACAGTTACATGTAAGCCACCTGCCTTTCTTCTTCATGGTCTCTGTGCATCACACACATATGGGCGACCAGCAGGCTTACCCATTCAGGAGGAGGTGCTGTTGTCACTGAAGAACTGAAGAGAGAACCGTCCTGCTGGATGCGCAGTCCCGTCTGGCACAGACGTCTAGCCAGCAGCGGTGAACACAGGTCGATGGAGTGGGCCATGTAGCAGTTCTGCAGATCTCATGTAGGGGAATGCTGGCTAGGAGGGCAGTGCCTGCATGGAGTGAGCATGGGGATGTGCAGGGAGGGGAATCCTCACCACCCATAGACCAGGGAGATGGTGTTGGAGACCCACTTGCAGAGCCTCCGGGCTGGGAAGGGCTCTCCTGTCTTCCGGCCTCCATAGCATATGAATAATCAGTTGGAATGGCACAGTGGCTCAGTCTGGGCGTGGTAGAAGGCAGAGGCCCTGTGGACATCAAGGAGGTGCAATGTGACCTCTACCAAGCAGGCAGGGTTGGGAAAGAAGGCAAGGAGAAGGATGTCTTGGTTGACATGGAATGGAGAAGTCACTTTGGGAGTAAAGAGTGGGTCTGGCTGAAGAATGACCTTGTCCCTGTGGAATATGAAGAAGGGAGTGTCGATCCAAAGCCTGGCTAATTCACTGCTGCAACAAGCGGACATGATGGCCACCAGGAACTCAGTCTTCCAGGAGAGGAGATGGAGGTCTGACGTGGCCATGGGCTCAAAGGGTTTCTTTGTGAGGGATTGCAGGACCACAGAGAGGCTCCAGGAGGGGGTGCGAGGCCAGACGGGTGGGGCAATGGTCCAAAGGCCCCTGAGGAAGTGGTGTGCCAGGGGGTGGATAAAAATGGAGGACCTGTGAATGGAAGCGTGGAAGTGTGAGATGGCTGCTAGGTGGACCCTCAGGGAGAGGGGGAGAGGCCTGCACCAAAGCAGGCCTGTAAGTAGGTCAGGATGTGCTCAATAGGCATTCAGGAGGGATCAAGTGAACATGACAAATTCCTTCCACTTTGCCAGGTAGGACCTGCAGGTGGAGGGCTTTAGCATGGCCTGGAGGATGGATGCAACTGCAGTGGGGAGGGGGCTGTAGGAGTCCGTCACTCCCGTTATCCTCCAAGCTGTGGAGGGTCCTGGTACTGGAGAGGAGCACCCTGTCCCTGTCCTGGGATAGGCGGTTGTGCTGCACCCGAGGGGGTGCGGGGAGGAATACCTACCTGAAGAGGCAGAGAGGATGGGGGAGCCATGGCTGTCTCAGTCACCATGGAGTGGTCAGGATGCAGTCTGTGCTGTCCCTCTAGACTTTGGCCACCCCCCAAAATCGTAGAGCAGGACCTTTTTGCATTTGAGGATGAAGGTGTCTCCCAGGGACACAATCCCCTGCCCTGCTCTGGAGCAGAACTGGTCGCACTTGGCGTTCTGGGGAGTGGCAAAGAGATCCACCTCAGGAGGGGCCCATTCCTTGTAGAAGGTGAGAAAAACTGAGGTCTCCAGGTCCCATTTGTGGGGGATGATGGGAGACCGATTCAGGGTGTCCGCCAGGGTGTTGAGGCAGCCTGAAACGTGGATGGTGGTGATGTGATGCCTCCCTCAACACACCAGTCCCAGATGGCGGATTTGAGGGCTGAGAGGTGGGTGGAGTGTGTCCCACCCTGCTTGTTGAGATAGTACATGATGGTGTTGTTGTCAGTGGCTTTCTGAATGCAGTGGCTCCTCAGGGAGTCTTGGAACGAGTAATAAGGCCTGTCCTGAAGAAGGCATATCTGGTCCCAGAGATGGCCGCCAACTACAGGCCGGTGTTCAGTATCCTATTTTTGCGCAAGGTGCTTGAGCGGGTGGTGGTGGGACAACTCCAGGCGCTCTTGGAGGAAACTGATGATCTTGACCCATTTCAGTCTAGCTTCAGACCTGGCTATGGAACTGAAACTGCCTTGCTTGCCCTGTAGGGTGACCTGTGCAGGACAGGGAAAGTGTGTACCTGTTGGTTTTCCTGGACCTCTCAGCGGCTCTCATTACCATTGACCATGGTATCCTTCTGGATAGGCTGGCTGGGTTGGGAGTTGGTGCCACTGCTCTGCAGTGGTTCCACTCCTACCTGGCTGGCCTATTCCAGAAGGTGGTGCTGGGGGACTATGGCTCTGCACCATGGCAACTTTGCCATGGAGTTCTGCAGGGTTTCATTTTGTCCCCCATACTTTCATACATGAAACCGCTGGGAGAGGTCATCCAGAGGTTTGGGCTGTGGAGTCATCAGTATGCTGGTGACACCCAGCTCTACCTCTCTTTTACATCTACTCCAGGTGAGGCAGTGGCTGTCCTTAAGTGGTGCCTGGCCAGCCAAGGTAATGTGCTGGATGAGGGCCAATAAATTGAGACTTGATCCAGATATGAGGAAAGTCCTGTTAGTTGGCACTTCAGTCTTCCAGCCAAGTGATTTTAGCCCTGTCCTGGAGGGGGTTGCACTCCCCCAGGTGGCAGCAGTGGTGAGGAGCACTTTGCTTCATCTTTGACTGATCCACCAACTGTGTCCTTACCTGGATGAGCATTGCCTGGCAATAGTGACCCACACTTCCCGGTTGGATTACTGTAATGCACTCTACATGGGGCTGCCCTTAAATATGGTCCAGATACTTCAGTTGGTTCAGAACAGAGCTACCAGGATGTTAATGGGGACCATCTGGTTTTCACATATAACGCCAGTCCTCTACCAGTTACACCGGCTGCCAATTGAAGTCCGGGCCCAATTTAAGGTGCTGGTTATGGCCTATAAAGCCCTAAATAGCTTGGTTCTGGGATACCGAAAGGAGCACCTTCTTCCCTATGTGCCCTCCCGCCTCTTGAGATCTGAGGCAGAGGCCCTGCTCCGTGAGCCCTCCTTGAAGGAGATTAGGAGGGAGAGTACCCAGAGCAGGGCCTTCTCTGTGGTGACACCCCGCCTATGGAATATGCTCCCCAGAGAGGTTTGCCTGGCGCTGACATATTATTTTTGGCTTCAGGCAAAACCCTTTTTATTTTCCTGCTGTTTTAATGTTTAATTGATTTTAACTGGGGTTTTGTATATTAATGGTAGGATGCTGTGGAGTTTGTTTTATACTGTTCATTTATTGTAAGCCGTCCCAAGACAGATGGGGATAGAAAAGCTTTTAATAAACAAACAAACAGGATAAGACGGATGGGGATAGAAAAGCTTTTAATAAATAAATAAATAAATTTACAGGATAAGAGTCTCCTGGGAGAGGCCCATGGCACACATCCAGGCATGTTGGTGGAGAGCAATGGCTCCCATCACCGCCTTGCCATCACAGTCTGTGAGATTCTAGCCGCCTCGGTCTGTTGCCTGGACAGTCTTTCTGCCTCGAAATGGAGCAGGTGGGTCACCTTGCAGACCCCATTCTTTCTGGTATTATTTATTTATTATTTATTTATTTTAAATATTTGTATGCTGTCCTATTTGCAAAAAAGCCTCAGGACGGCTTACAACGTCAAATATAATATAAACGACATAAATAACATAAATAAAATTCCTGACCCACACAGGCTGCAATTAAAAACATAAAAAAGACAATATTAAAATTTATTAAAATACCACTGGAATAAAAAGGTCTTAACCTGGCGCCGAAAAACTAATAACGACGACGCCAGGCAGACCTCTCTGGGGAGCGCATTCCATAGATGGGGTGCCACTGCAGAGAAGGCCCTCCTCTGGGTACTCACACTCCTAATATCATTCACGGAGGGTTCCCGGAGAAGGGCATCCGCTGCCGATCGTAGGGGGCGGGAGGGCATATATGGACGCAGGAGTTCGATCCACCCACCAACAGGGCTTCCATCTTGTCTGGATTAAGTTTCAGTTTATTGGCCCTCATCCAGCCCATTACCTTGGCCAGGCACCGGTTAAGTACAGCCACTGCCTCACCTGGGTTACTTGAAAAAGAGAGGTAGAGCTGGGTGTCATCAGCATACTGATGACTCTGCAGCCCAAACCTCCTGATGACCTTTCCCAGCGGTTTCATGTAGATGTTAAATAGGAAGGGGGACAAGATGGAACCCTGCAGTACTCCATAGCATAGTTGCCATGGTGCAGAGCCAAAGTCCCCCAGCACCACCTTCTGGAATTGACCATCAAGGTAGGAGCAGAACCACTGCCAAGCAGTGCCTCCTACTCCCAATCCCACCAGCCTATTCAGAAGGATACCATGGTCGATGGTATCGAAAGCCGCTGAGAGGTCCAGGAGGACCAACAGGGACGCACTCCCCCTGTCTCTGTCCCTGCACAGGTCATCATACAGGGCAACCAAGGCAGATTCAGTACCAAACCTGGGTCTGAAGCCAGACTGAAATGGGTCCAGATAATCAGTTTCATCCAAGAGTGCTTGGAGTTGTCCCGCCACCACCCGTTCCAACACCTTGCCCAAAAACGGGATGTTGGCCACCGGTCTATAATTGGCAGCCATCTCTGGATCCAGGGACACCTTCTTTAGGACAGGCCTGATTACCGCCTCCTTTAAAGAAGCGGGCACCTGGCCATCCCTCAGAGAGGCGTTAATAACCTCCAGGACCCAGGCACCAATCTCGTGTTTGGCTTTGGTCAGCAGCCATGATGGGCAAGGGTCAAGTAAGCAGGTGGTGGGACGTACCCATCCAAGCACCTTGTCCACATCATCAGGCTGCAATAACTGAAATTCATCCAATAATACCTGACGAGACAGAATCATTGGCATCTCCCCTAAAGGATCTGAATCACTTGTGGAGTCCAGCTTGTGACGAATCTGAGTGATTTTCTCCTTAAAGTGCTGGGCAAAGTCATCACAGCGGGCCATCGAAGGTGGTACAGGATCTTTTTTAGGGCCAGGATGTATTAGCCCATGTACCACTCGAAAGAGCTCCACTGGATGGCACTGTGAGGAGGCAATGGAAGTGGAGAAGTATTTCTTCTTCACTGCCCTCACCACCACAGCATAGGCTCAATAATGAGCTCATAGGCATGTTCGGTCAGATTCATCCCGTGATTTCTTCCACCTACACTCCAGACGTCTCGCAACCCGCTTCATCGTCCGTAATTCAGATGTGTACCATGTGGATGAACGGGCTCTGCCGGGCAGGAGAGGACTCTTAGGAACGATCATGTCAATAGCTCTGGTCATTTCCCCATTCCACAGTTCAACCAGAGCATCAACAGGAACACCAGCTTTATCAATCGG